ACGTAACGGAAAAAGTTTTTAAGTAACGGAGTACCGGATGCGCTCGCAATACTCGCTTTTTAAGCAATGGAAAACTTCCGTTCCTTTTGCGTTCGTCACTCCGTTACACTTAAGTGTGTTACTCCATTATGAAAAACTCCAAAAGGCGGCTCCTTCAGACGAAGTTGTAGAAGAATAATGGCGCCGAAAACAGGAAAACAGGCTACTTTATGACATGTTTTGTGCGTCGAACTTCTGGAGGCAATTAGAACTGACTTATTGCGGAACGAACGTTAATTACTTAAGCCTGGCCAAAAGGATCGGCCCGAGCTCGCCTCCGGAAAGAAGGCGATAATGCAACGAGCCTTCGTAAATGTAAGACAGGCATCCCATCTGGCGTCTCAGAGGAGCACGACACAAACCTTTGCTTTCCCCTCAGTCCGGGAATCGGCCCGACGCCCCCTGACCAGGCACTCACCCTCTCACATCACACACGTTCTCCACGCACAGTTTACAGTCCATTCCATGCTCTGTGAGTTTGTGTTGATACCAAATGGTTCTGCATTACGTGCATACGCGGATTAGGAGGCACGTTGACTGCGTCGGTCCCCTTTCTGCCAGGGCAGCAGCCAGGATTTTCTTCGCGGGGGGAGGGATACACCTCAGCGAAAACTGGCAGGCGGGCACACCACAGTGATAACTACCGTAAACGAGAGGAAGGATACCGGTCTCAAGCTTCCCTCGCCCACCCTCACGGGCTGCGGTCATGCCCTCTCCCAACTCGTGGACAGGGGCGCGACCTGTATCCAATTCTGACAGAACTGGTGTTAAGGGACTTGCCTCTGATCCAGGAGATCCCCACGATACTCTTTCTGGCTTTGTATTTGTCATTTACTTAGTTTATTATTGTCATTTTTTTATATTTGTCATTTACTTAGGCTTGCTGCCGACAGAAAACTCCAGTTACTGCCAGTCTCCACAGTTGCTGGCAAAATCGCGAACATAGGGCAATAATCACAGAACACTGCCAGCAAATCTAGTCAGAATATAGAAAACAGTGCACATAAAATGCAGTTAAGCATACTTGTCACATGCATGCCTACACAACTCCCGCCCCTTGCCTAGCGCAGGTCTCGGCCTGGCTCGTTTATAAAACAGCGGATCACTGAAAAAGCCTACACGTTGGCGCTTGTGTGACAGTGCGTTTTCAGGTCTCGGCAGTCTGCAAAACAAACCCATTTCCAGCTTCACCACGTCCAAAAAGTGTCCGATGCTACGTCGCACAAAGCGGGGAAACCAAACCAAAACACAACAGTAAAAACGGGGAGTCGGTCGGCTGTATAAAACACATAAAAAACACGCCTGCTTTTTTAATACAAAGAGATAAAACGCTGAACAGAGACACCAGCTAATAAGTCTGGACTTCAGCCAGGTAAAGAAATGTCTGACAGTACGCGACTGTAGGTCAACGATTGAGCAGAGCAATAAATATGATCAGACAGCCACATGCAAAATGTATGGCGCACGTGCTCAATTCCTTCGTCGCCCCTGGCCAGCTCACGCTGCAGTGTTCAGGCATCGACCGGACGTTCGAATGTTACGTCGCCATGACGGCCGTGGTTTCGTGCCGACTATTTCTGAACTTCCTCTAGTGACCTCATCGGCATCCGAGGCGCCTTGTTGTTCTTCCACGTCGCGGTGTCAACGTGACGCCCAATGACGGACTTAGGTCCCTGGTGGAATTAACGGACTCTTGAGCTGGCCACCAGTCGTGTCTTGACTGGTGATGTGGATGACGCCAGACGAACGTTTCGAAGGGATCGCACTGTTTGATATTGATACGGGTTCAGCCGAAAGGTCCATTTGCATGATGAATCTGTCAAGCGCGTACGTCTTCTCGCGGAACTTGGCGTCGAAACGAATCTGAATTTCTTCGAAGATATTCACATTGTGTGGGCACTCCAGACAGTTGATGCTGATGACAGCCGGCAGGTCATCACTCAATAAACAAAAGGCGAGAGCGGTGGGCAACTGGTCGCTTTCCCAGAAGTCCCTCTCCGCTTTCCCAGATCCACGCCGCCCATTTGCCGTTCAGACTCGTTCGTTGCCGTCGGCCACAAAAAAGATGATCCAGCTCGGACCGCGTCCATGAACGCTTGTGGGCCCTTCAGGCTGTTCATAAATAGCCTGTGACGACGCGCTCTGATATGCAGCAAACCCGGCAGAGCTGGTAGAGACGTCCGAAACATCCAAGCCGTCATGGCCCGTCAGAGCCGTGAGGACAGTCAGGGCCTTCAAAGCCTTTAGGGCCGTCTGGATCGTCAGTGTTGTCAGTGCCGTCAGTGCAGCTGAGACGTGCGCGAGATCCTCCTCCATCCTGATCGCATCAGTTCAGCCAGACCGCCGGCGCAAGACTGGTGCAGCACGAAACAGTGCTGTTTGTTTGGCATGGATGCTCGAACACGCGCGTATCAACGGTAAAACACAACTGTTCCAGGGGTTTTTGTGGAAGGACCGGAAT